GATGAACTTCGGGGTAAGACCGTGACGCGGGGAAATGATTGCCCCGGGGTCAAAAGGACAAAGTTACATCATTACTTTAATAAGCTAGAGTATAACTGGGCTTAGGTAGACAGCCTATATATATATATATATATATATATATATATATATATATAATATATATATTTAAGATTTGCTGTTGAATAAACGAGGTGATCATTATAATTATCTAGGTTAATGTATCCAGATGATTGTCGTTTAATTCATGAAAAGAGTAGGCGATATGACTATTCAACTTGCATAATAGTCTATTACTACCATTACTAATATTACTACTGTTATTTCGACGACGACGATGACGACGATAACGATGATGAGGACGACAACAACAACAACAAGACACAACAAAAGCAACAACAACTACAATGATGACAACGACAAGAACAAAACAAATACATTAATTAATAAAATAATAAATACCGCTACCAGACCTACTACTACTACTACTACTACTACTACTACTACTACTACTACTACTACTACTACTACTACTACTCCTACTATTACTAACACTACTACCTCTACTACTACTACTACTACTAATACTACTACTACTACTACTACTACTACTTCTACTACTACCCCGGTGGGGTCACTCCCCTGCAAAGAGTGACACGTATGACCGTTACCACCAATGCATGTAACCCCCTTTTGCGGTCAATTTCAAGGACATTTTGTGACATTTAACCCCTTTTTTACGTCAAAACAAGGACAAAATCGTACTTTGGAATACCCCTATTTATAAGATTGTAAGGACACTTTCGCAAATTTACCCCTATTTTACCATATTTCAAGGACAAGACTCGGCTCCGAGAATTTTTCTTCCCGGTTTTCTCTTTTCCCTTCCCGGTTTTCTCTTTTTCCTTTTCCTGACCCCTATTTATCAATTTCGGGGACACCTGTGCCCCCCTATTTTCTTTATTTCGAGGAATATTTTGTCCGCGGACATTGCTTGAAATTGACCCCTTTTTCCGCGATTTTGGTAACGGTCATGCGGTCCGGAAGTCACATTGAGTGACCCCACCGGGACTACTACTTCTACAAAACCTACCACTTCTACCACCACTACCTTTAATGTTCCACAATACAACAATTTTTCTTGTGCAAATTTGCAATAACATCATCAATACTTCATGAGGCCTGATTTTAGCAGAATTGTATACTCTATTAAATTTCTCACTTTCCATTTATTCCAAGAGTTGGATAGGAGATTCGCAAACATGCAAGTTTATGCGCGATGGCTGTGGTGTAAACCTCGAGACACTGCAAGGCAGGGCACGATAAGTAACGAACGAGAAAATTTGCGTCTAATTGAACGCGCAGCTGGATGGCATAATTTTCAATTTGAGCGAGGAATTGGATGCAATCTGGACCATTAGCTGCTAAACAAATTGATGTTAACTAGGAGTAAAAGTACAATGCTACGAACAAAAGGCCTTTACACTTAATAAGAAAAAAAAAATCACTATTGGCATTGGTATAGCTGCTACAGAGGGGCGCGGGGGGGGGGGTATGTGCCCCCTCTCCCTCCTATCGAAAGGCGGAAAGGGAGAGAAAGAGGAAATGTAGGTATAGTAGGAGGAGAAGGGGGAGTGAAAAGAAGATGAGAGTTAATATCTCTCTGTTAACCGACGGACACATTTATGCAAACTCCACTAGCATGCCACTCCCCCCCCCCCCAAAAAAAAAAAACCGACGCCAGTGCCCCCCTCAATGGTTGAGTCCACGCTATGCCACTTACTGACGAGCAGCGCATAGGATGGCTGCGAAGACGAGATGTATGAAAATGATAGGGGTGCGGGGTGGATGGAGGGGGGGGGGGGGAATACACAATTACACATTAATTTGATAATATTGGTTTAGGTTACCAGTAATAATTTGGTATTTAGATAAATTGAGCCTGATTGGGAGACGTTAGAATGGTTGGAATGAATGCAAAATGTAAAGGTGTGGTTTAGACACCTTAATTCATGGATATGCGAAGCTTGCCGTTTCGAGTCCCATTGCGGCACAGATGCCATTGTAGCAAGACATTAATGAATGTTGCCACTCTTCATACAGGAGTCGTTTTTAGGAACCGGGTTTGATTTATTGCGTTGCTATGACTACCAGAGCAAAAATCAAGGGTTATAATATAACGTCCTTTTGAAGCCAATAGACCAAAACTGTACAAAACAAAACATTTTGAAACATTCTTTATCAGACTCCTATGATGCATGTATTTTCGAACTCCTTTAACATTCTGTAACGTGAAGACATAATATAAACTTGGACAAGGATTGTCCCACCTAGCAACACAGACTTCATGAAGACGTTTGCAGATGTAATTATTAATAGTTCGTTATAGGGGTTCGAGGAAGCGAAGTCCAGTAATTTAAAAACACGATCTACTGCATGTGTTATACAGTATTGCACTTTTGGTGGTAGTGACCCTGCATGCGTGCCGGAATCCTAGGTGTGGGGTCCAGGTCTAGACCAAACAGGACCACCTCACAGACCAATGTGGACCAATGTGGACCAATGTTGACAAAATATCTAAGATTATTAACATTTTTGATATTGTGATGGGTACAGTGTAAATAGGTATGTCTGGGAAAGAGAGAGAGAGAGAGAGAGAGAGAGAGAGAGAGAGAGAGAGAGAGAGAGAGAGAGAGAGAGAGATGTAGTGAGAAAGAATGGGGGGGGGGGGGTAGCAAATATGGGAAGATATACGGGGAGAGAAAGAGTATTCTACAGAGAAATGGGGAGGGGAGAAAAGTGGGAAAGAGATATAATTAAGTCCGAAATCATCACCATCACAGTATCAGACACACTTAATGATCATAACTACCACGACCACCTCCACCGCCATCACGACCACGACCACCGCCACCACGACCACCACCACCACCACCTCTACCATCGTTAATATCGTCATTATTATCAACAACAACGCCAACGGGGGGGGGGGGGGTGGTAGAAAACCATTCAAAATATAAAAATGTGGGTCGCTAGAAATAGACCATTACAAATAAGACATTCTTCACGGACCACTGTAGGCAATTATTTACAAAACAACCGTGATGTGAAGGTATGGGGTTTTATCATGATTGTAACGAAAAGGGGCAATGATTATAATTGGAACACTATATTAGGGAAAGAGGAGGAAGAGAGAGAGAGAGAGAGAAAGAGAGAGAGAGAGAGAGAGAGAGAGAGAGAGAGAGAGAGAGAGAGAGGGGGGGGGGATGGGGTGGAAAGGGAGAGAAGGAGGGGTGAGAAAGAGAAAGAGAGGGGTGGGGTCTTTGTGCGGTATCATACTGTACGTCAACCATAAAAGAAAGCGCCCTTATTTATCAAAATTATGAAAAGAAAATATAACATTTATTCCTATCAAAGCTCTTTTCATTAATATACCGGTTGACCAGAAATGTATTCCATAGAACTCAAAAGCAAGTATTTTGGGGACATCCCAAATCGTCAGATGAAGTAAACAGATCTCAGTTTGTCAAAAATAATCTATAGAATCATGTAACAAAATAATTCATGTCACAAAAGTGTGAAATACTAAATATAACCTTAGATGTGATTCACATATCACGATGATTTTCATAATAAAAAGAGGATGAGGCAAAATACCATAATAAAGAATGACGTTATTCGAGCATTAGAGAATAAAAATTGACTGTATGACCCAAAGTGCATTAACAGGTCGCGAAGTCCCACACGAACAAAGAAATGTGGTGTTGTAAGTTTGTTGAGTACCGGTCTATTTCTACTTTGTATGGCCCCGAGTACACACTATTAGACCAACCACTAATGGAAACTTGTTGGCACAATGTATCCCATGAAGAATTGAATACAAAAGAGGAATAGAAAAGGAAGGAGGAGAAAAGGTGGGCCTTTGGAATATGAAATCAGTTTTCTACATATCCGCCATTGTCAAGTCGAAAAGCCAAACTGTTGAGGCATTATACGACCCTCATTCCAAGTCATTTGCCCTTTTGTGGGATCTTTCAGGCTATTAAAATCCCTTGTAAGAAACAGAGGGGATGACGACGTAAGTGCATCTTTGAGGTCACGACGTACCCCCCCCCCCTTTAAATAAAAGCCACAGGAGAGACATGTTTGTAAATACTAAAGTCAACTTGCAAGAACACAGCAATGTAACAGAAAATGTTACACTTCAGGGGGTGTTTTACAAAGATCCTAAGTTGGACTTAAAAATTATGGAAAGCCATACAGCATCTTTGAAAGTTATTTAAAAAGGCATAAAATGTTGATTCAAATCATTCATATTTTCTATTATCAAGGAGATTTCATGTTCTCGATGTGGAATTAATGAAAAGTCCAAAATACTTTAATTTTTGCTTTCGAATAATTTTTATTTTAAGGCTACAAATGGCTCCCCAATTGAGTTCGACTAAGGATCTCTGTGAAACACCCCCTGATCGCACAACCTGAGAATCTGTGAAAAGTTTTTTTTGGCCCCATTCACATTACAGTCCAAGCAACATGGTATTATAACGTTGTGTGAATGGACCTAGTCAAAAAATCAACCCAACCCCATTGCAATAGCCTTGTACGTGACCTACATGTATTATTTAAATCCGACACGATTCCTAAATAGGGTATTGAAATTTCCACAGAGTTGATATTTCGAAAATTAATTGTTAATCTAGTTAATTGGTGAGTTTTTTTATTTTCAGAGGCGTGCATCCATTTTTCTCAGATCATTTTATTAATCATACACATCCCCCACAAACACATACAGGACACCCAAAAACCCTTCACTCTCTCCCCACATAGCCCCATTTAATGGATAATGTTTCCCGTTTCAAGCAATAATAATAGCTAAACAAACCATGAACATAAGAACACAGTTCACAGTTATTTCAAAGTACCAGTACAGAAATTGTATAAATAAAAGGAGAAATTTGTACAACGCTGTAGATCCAATCAATCACATCATGCAGACAATTTTCTGAAGTTTTGTAGAAAATGAAAGTTTTAATGATGCTTCTTCCTGTGGCACTTCATAAGTTTACATGATGATATCAATCTATCAAAAAACATCATTCAGAATCATAATACAACTTAAAGAACATAAAATGGGAGAAAAAATGATATGATGTCAAACATTTGGCAAAGAAAACAATATATAACAAATAAAATGAATTGGAAACAGATGTAAAGATATACTTTTGAGCAAAGAATAAGTAAGAAGATTGAATAAGGTCAATGAACAGAAGTAAGTATGTAACAGAAATTACAAGGGGGACAATCTATACCACACATTGGAATTAGGGCATTGCTAACAACTCTTCTAAATGATTGGGTATTATAAACAAACATAAGCAAAGGAGAGATTGTAAATGTTGGTGTTAGGCATCAAATTGTGACCGTTTCATTGATCGTACAAGAGTTTTTAACTTTTCAACTCTCTCAGGATGTCTGTATGAGAAAGAGCTTTAGTTACTGAGGTATATGATTACAATCACATAGTGCATGCATATATCATTTTCTTGTCAGTATTATGAACAGACGAATCTGTACGTCGACATATATGATGGGTTTGTCGGTTGATAAAACTTAACAATTTGTTGAGAGTCGACAGGGCATTAGCTTGTATGCTTCAAGAAAGAGTTAATTGCTGCACCTCAACAGACAACATGTTCGAGCGGTCTTTATGAATAGAATACAAGTACATCTGTGGGAATTTATCTTTGAGGTCACTCTCGAAACAATTATTTCCCACCGACTCTTCATCTAAGCAATCCTAGGTATTGCCTTATTCTCTAATTATGCCCAACACAAATATATGTACCCTTGAGTGTTTAAAGGAAGCTTCCAGTGGTATGGGCTGAAGTAATCGATACAGTCTTTACAGATCACCTATCAGTCCCAGAAAAGATTAAAAGAATGTCAGCTAGGAGACGAAAGGTTTTTAATCTTTCTCCCTCTCCACAGAGACACAACAATCTTTTTAAAGGTTTTTAACGTCTCTCTGATACATAAAGGGGGGTGGATTCGTCCCGATCTGGTGTTTGAAATGTGACAATTGAAAGCAAGGTGGAGGCGATGATGCTCTGTTAGAGAACAGGAAACAATTTAGAATTATGTGTCTCCAGACATATTCGCAGGATATTGGCCTAATACATGGAGTTCACAGAAAAGTGTGTCTCTATCAAAACAAAGTATTAAGTGGAGGGCAATTACACCCCTCAAAATGCCCTTTCCATATTCTTCACCTTCGCACAAAAACAATACACTACAATGAATTTGTTCGAAGTGCATTCAACACCTCTTAAACTGGCCTCTCTTACATCATTTAACTATCTTTTCACCCTGCTCTTGCCATAAGACAAAAAAAACAACATCTAATATCACAAAGCACCGACTTTGTAACTTCAAATATTAATACTTCATGATACTCCCATTTTAACAAAAGTTTAGTGATACTTGAAGGGCAATAGAAAATCTTGCCAGTCGTCAAAAAAGACCAATTATGAAAGTTCACATACAGTTCTAATTGTCTTTTAACTGCTATTGAATCTATTAAAATGCCATCTTTCAATGGTGAAATTATTTGATAATATAATTAAGTTTGATTTCTTACTACATCAGAATCAATTATGGTGCTATCATTGAAAAAAAATTCCATTACATTATGACATTAAATAAAAAATTCCAATACCAATTCCAATTCCAATTGGTCCCTTTTATAATCAAATCAGTGCGTCTGCTTCTTTCAAATAATTGCTGAAATCCATGGTTCATTATAAAATCTTGACAAAAATCATGACGGACATTGTTTTGTTGCAGCTTCGTCATCTTTCATTCAGAGGTACATGGAGTTGACGGTTTCAAAAACTGCCTTTTGATGACTTTTTTTTTTTAAAGAGTTCTGTTTTTTTCTTCTTCTTTTCTTCATTTAGGGGTAAGTTGAGTACTTTTATACCATCCCCAAAGCTCTTGGATTTTCTGTGTTGGAAAAGGGTAGAGAAGAGAAGAAGGAGAGAAGGGATAAAATAAAATAGTTTCATCAGAATTCACATCATTCTCTTTCTTTTTAATCTTTCCAGATTTTTCATGTGATTAGGTTAACCCATTAGCAACTAGAAATTTTGTTTAAAAAATGGCCTTTTACTCGCTGGAAATGTTGCAATATTGCTCTCATTTTTACATTGTTCTGAACAATATGAAACATGTGCTAGTTTTCTATGCAGAATCCTACTGTAGACATCGTAAGGATTACGCATATGGAAAGAGGCCTTACAACTAAACTTGAAACAAATTTCAACAAGTATACAGGTATATGGATGTATAAAAAATATATCTTCATGTTGATAATAAAGCACTGGAAAATTGCTTGCAGAAAATGAAGAGTAGAATATTTTGTGCACACTTGATAAATGATCTTGGTTCATTTCATCTGTATATAGTAAACATATTAAATTTTTGAACAAAAAAAAGATGAAACAAAAATATTTGCCATTTTATAGTCAAGACTCCTGAAAAAACAGCATTCGGCACAAGACAGAATACATTATTCATTATCTATGCATGCCTTCCATCATGAATATACAAATGCTGCAAGTCACCTTTTCAAGAGAATTGAGAATTCGCAAGACTTTTGGTCACTCCTGTCTAACCAATAATGAAGAATTTACACAAAAAAGGGGAAAATAAATACGTCAAAGAAAAGAAAAAGAGAGACTTACCTTTCCTTCTGAGAGGTGGAACTTTGATTTCACAAAGTTCTTGAACTTTTCTTCCTTCTTTGGCTTGCTGGGTGACTGCATGAAAGATAATAATTAAAAAATCTCATTAAAGAAATTAGCAAAAGAAAATGAAAATGAAAAAGCAATCATAACATTTCCCTCAATAGTTGTAGCAGTGCAAGGAAATAAGTATTGTTAATCTGTACCAGGTTTTTTTTTCAAAGTGAAAATTTATGCTGCTACAACCAAGAAATACGATTTAAAATTTAATTTGTGAAGAAAAAAAAGGAGAGTACAGGGCGAACATGTCTTTTTTCAATGAACAAATCATATATAACGATAACATCGATTATCATCATCTCCATCGTGGCAGGAAAAGTTTGGTAATTTCCAACTCTTATGGCACAAATTTCTCTCAAACATAAATCATTTGGGGAATACAAAAAGAAATGAGGAAAAGAGAGAGAATGAGAGAGAGAGAGAGAGGGGGGGGGGGGGGTTTGAAGATACACGGAGCAATTTGAAAACATATTTGTTTTACAACAAAAGACAGAAGCATCAATTGATAATTGAAAAAGCGCATAAAATTGAACTGTTTGAAAGAAACACAAACTTCCCATATTGCCACAATATAGACAAGAAGAGGAAATAGAGGACAAAAGTTTTGAAAGAAGCACAAACAAAGCGAACAACTTTTATGTTCCGCTCTGTCCAAAACAAATTAGCAATGCAGAGAAGGACATCGTGAAAAGGGAGCTGACGAGTACGCGGTGAAAAGTGGGCTGAAAGAAAAACAAGAGTCGGAAGGGAAAGGTGTCGTGGATAAATGATTGGATTGGGGTTTGGGTGTGAGTTGATACATGGTAATGGGGTTTGGTTCGAGTGGGAGATACTTGTACTTGGTGATAAATAAACAAACAAGCCATGAGGACTTTGTTATCTCTCTCTGTCTCCATCTATCTATCCATCTTTCTAGCTCATGACAAAGAAACAAAAAAGTATAGTAATAATTCATCAAATATAGTTGTCAATTTCCTCTCACCATCACTCCCGGATGAAGACTTGCTATTGCTGTTTTCTATCCGTTGTTTATATCTTTTTTTCTTTCTTTTATTTTCCTTTCTTTCTTTTTTAATTTCCTTTTCCTTTACTTCCTTTCTCTCTCTCTTTTCTCCTCTCTCTCTCTCTCTCCCTCCCCTCTCTTTTCTCCTCTCTCTCTCTCCCTCCCCTCTCTCTTTTCTCTCTCTCTCTATCTCTCTCTCTCTCATTCTCTTACACACACACACACAAATAAAAAGGGATAGGCAGCCATTGTAATCATTCATCAAATATGAATTTCATTTACAAACTTTTGCTTCCTCAATCTGATTTCACCTTTCTCTCCCCTCTCTCTCTCTCTCTCTCTCTCTCTCATTCTTTCTTTTAAACTCTTCCTCTTGTCGATCTCTCCTAGCCTCTCCTTCTATCCTAATGTCAGTCCATTTTCTGCTCATTCTCTTGGATATAAAGTCTGGATAATGTCAGTTTGTTATGGTTGTCCCGATGTGATTAAGAGAACCTTTCCTGTATCTTCTTAATTATGTATCCTTCCTATCAGAGTTCCTAACAAGTTTTATTTGTCTGTCCGATGTCACTCTGATCTTTTCCTTATGCGGGTCTACAGGATTCAACTGGGGACTTGGTGTAGATAACTGGAAATATTATTTAGTTGTATATTTTTAGATGATAACAATCTGGATTATTCAAGAGATTCAATTCAAGTGATAGCAAAAGTTGAAATCAAACACAATTAAGAATCCCTCAACAATAACCAATGCACCCCCCCCCCAAAAAAAAATAAAAAAATAAAAAAATGAATAAACAACCAACCTCTGGACCAATTAAACAACTCACAGATTAATTAACCATTCGATGGAACAGTAACTAGCCCATGGATCAACTAACCAAGTCGGTAAATGACCCATGGATTAACTAAATGACTTGTTAATCAATTTGATAACCAACTGATGGATTGACTAAACACATGAATAACCAACCCCTGGGTCCTGATTCATAAAACTTGTTGTCAATAACAACTGCCACAGATCTATGACAAATCTGCCCACAGCCAATCAGCTGAAAGGATTTCAGTAGCTTTTAACAATTATCGTATTTTGTTATTGATAACAAGTTTCATGAAACAGGACCCTGGACAAACTATCCAAACAATGGATCATGTTTAAAAAGCAGGTGGACAAATGATTCTGTCTGTGGACAAATTAGCTAGCCTTTGAGCAAACTGGCAAGCTAATGGGGTCAGAAACTAACACTAGAGCCTAGAACCATGTAACCATCTTTGGATCGAGCACAACCATTTTTAGAACAGGAAACAGGGATAGACTAACTGGAGAGTCCCATTGATCCTCGTACGTTTGCGAGTAGGGTTCAAATTAGACAACCTGTAAGGCCACCTTTTGGCACTGGGCCTGACGCGGGCCTCAGACAGACTTTCAAGAGTAACAGGGGTTTGATATCCTATAGACCAAATACAGTCAAACCTGTCTTTGATGCGACCCTAGGTAAACAGAGAACATGGCCACTGTAGACAGGTGACTTTCTACACAGGTTCTACGACGCATATTTCTTTCTTGAGGAAAGTAAAACACACGGCCACTACAGAAAGGTGGCATTTAGAGAGAGGTGGCCGGTAAGACAGGTTTGATTGTAATCTATGATACATATGTTCAACATCTTCACAATTTGGACTAGCCATTTAGTAATAGAAGATTTATGTGGATGCAGTTGAAGCACAAGAGCAAGGAATTAACCAACCAGCAAATGGACTAACAAACCAACCAACAGTCTCCAACTAACCAACCAACTGCTTCGAGATCAACAGAACTTGCTCTCAACTGAATGGTTGGAGGAAGAAAACCCACTAATAATAAATCAATGGGAAAATGCTTTTGACACTGGGGGAAATTGGTTAATTGTGGCTGACGACAGAGGAAAGGTTCCAGCCGCAGAGCTCCCACTACCTTTCACGGTGAGACGATGCGGAGCTGGCACGCACGGTATCAGTCCAATACCTGGTAGTCTGTCAGGTTAGACAGGTCTCTCTGTAATACACAGCTTTAACTCTTCCTCTGTATGAGAACCCCTTACCAACGGCTTGATATTATCAGGGATCTGGTGAACATGGACCCCCCCCCCCTCATTTTTTTAATTCTGGACCCCCCCCCCCCTTCCCCGAAAGTTTGGAGTATAGACTGGGTCCATGCATGTAGACCCTCAAAATTCCAATATGGACCCCGATCAAATAAAGGGGCCCTGCTTATACTTTGCTTTAAAATTCTCATTGAGATATGACCATGTACCCTGACCCCCCCCCCAACAAAACTGTAAAAGATAGGACACTTTCCCCTACATTTTTAATTGCTTTTTGGGGGGCAGGGAAGATGCATTTTAGGAGGGTGAGCATGGAAAAATTGCTCTATCAAGGGAATCTTAAGGCAAACTCAACCCATATAATACAAGAGTTGCACTCTGGGAAAATTTCTTACGCTTTAATGTTTCTGATAAGAATGACAGTGTTCTCTGGGCTCTGGCCTTCTTAAAGCCATCATTTTCTTTCAAGTAAAAGCTCCAATTCATGAACAAAGTTGGACAGGCCTGCAATATTCTATGATCAGCTCATCTGCAAAAGATTGGTTAAAGCATGCGTGTCCGAAAGCCCATCCCTGCCCCCGTGCCACAATTCAGGCCAGTCTAATCCATGTACCTCATTGGCTTGTAAAACATAATGGACTTGTCAGAAAATGATGATAGGAAATAAGGAGGAAATGTCTGGTATCTATGACATTAAGAGCTCCTCCATGCCACTGGCTAAATCAAAGAGAGAGAGAGATGAGAAGGATCTGAGATTGAGGCCATGCTCTATTTATAACATCCTGCACTGTGGACTCAACTCTCTTTCTCTTTCTCTCTCTCTCTCTCCTCTCCTCTCCATCTTTCTCCCTCTCTCTCTCCTCTCGCTCTCTCTCCCCCTCTCTCTCTCGTTAGATGTAGGCATATTCCTTCATGTAGGTCTCCTCTCTCTCTCTCTATACAAATATTGTAAATATTCCCCCCCCCCCCCCCTCTCTCTCCCTCACATCATCCTTCTCCCTTTCCTCTCTTACACCCCCTCCCCCTTCCGTCTCTTTCTCTTTCTCTTTCTCAGTGCATTTTGTATTTTTCTTTCTTTCATTCATTATTTTTTCTTTCTTTTTTTCATCTCTTTTTATCTCTCAGGCCACATAATCTACAAATCTCATTCTCTTTGTGTTTCTCTTTCCCACAAATATAAAACGCTTTATTTTTGTATCTACTATTAAACTCAAACTTTCACACCCCCCCCCCCCCTCCCCTCTTTCTCAGGGTATGCTCACTGGATGAGGAATGACAAACAGAAGTTTAAATAGGCGTGTCTGCACTATCTCGAGATTGCCAAATATCCAGCTATTTGAACTATCCCAATCGCAAACTATCCAGCTAATTTGCGTCTTCATTAGAACGAAGTAGCAAATTAGCTGGATAGTTGGTCGGGATAATATCCCAAGATATCTCAGTCTAGTTTGCGGTTTTCCGTGCTTACTCGAGGTCAGGTTGTACTAGCGCGCTGAGCGGTATAGATCGCATGTGCGAACCGGAAATCGCTGTGCATGATGGGATCGGGATATTTGACTCCGGACTTCGGTCTAATGAAGACGGTCGCAAACTATCCCGCTAGTTCGGAAATAGTGGGATATTTTGCAAACTAGACCGAGATATCTTGGGATATTATCCCGACCAACTATCCAGCTAATTTGCTACTTCGTTCTAATGAAGACGCAAATAGCTGGATAGTTTGCGATCGGGATAGTTCAAATAGCTGGATATTTGGCAATCTCGAGATAGTGAAGACGGGCCTAATGGTCACCGTATTTACTTTTATGACGAGGCCAACCTACTCTATGTGTATCTGAACAACCTCATCTATAGGTGAACCATTTCGGCATCAATATTTATTTCACTCGATGTGCATGTGCAATGCATAATGGGTATCAAATGAGCAT